GCGCAGCACGGGCTGGCGCCGCCCTTTGCGAGCAGCGGCGCGATCGCCTGCGCCATGAGCACCGGCCCGAGTGCGTTGGTCGCAAAGACGCTCTGCATCGCCGTGGCGTCGATCGAACCCAGCGACCGCTCCGGCATATACTCCGACGGCAGCGTCTCGGCGGCGGCCGACGACTGGCCTCCGTGCAGCTTGCCCGCCACGTTGAGCAGCAGGTCGACCTTGGCGCCTCCGAGGTCGGCCTTGAGCTGCTCGGTGAGGGCGCGCGTCGACGCCTGCTCGGTCACGTCGCACGCCACCGGCAGGATCCGGCCGGGGTACTCTGACATTAGCCTCTCCAGCCCATCGGACGTGCCGGAGCGGCTCGCGGCGACGATGGTGCTCTGCGGCGCTCGGCGAAGCAACTGGCTGGCGAACCCAAGGCCGAGGCCGCGCGATGCACCCGAGACGACGACGAGCTTCATCGCAGACAACCTGGTGGGCAGGACACTGGCCGAAGAGACGACCATTGCTCGCTCTGTTCGGCCAAAGCCATGAAAGTGCTCTATCAAAAAGAATTTAAACAAAAGAACTCTCAAAAAGAATTTTACCACGAAAGGCGGTCGCACAAAAAGAATCTTACCACGAAACTCCCTCGCACATTTGCACACATGCACAGACACACAGCCCCTTCCCCTCCCCCCTCAAGGGCGAGGACACGCACAGGCCGCACCTCTAGTGAGGCCCGCATAGTATGTGGGAGACTCGTGCCGCCGCCCCTGCCACCCCTGTGTCAGTGTGCCTGTGGTAGGAGAGACTGCCAGCGACAAGCTGGAGGCAGGTCGCTAGACTGAGATGAGACCGCCAGTGGAGTTGGGAGTCCACCGTGCACCGCGCTGCGAGCCTGTCGTGTCCCTTGTCAGGAGCAGGAGAGCCCCACCTGTCCCCCTGATCGTTCTTCCAAAATCCTGCTCGTGCAGGTGGGGAACCTGTCCTCGTCCCATCCCTCGTTTGGCGTGTCTGTTTTCTTTCTTTCTTTCTTTTGCCCAGTGTTGTGCAAAAAGAACCACCCCCCCCCCCCTCCCCTGCGCCCATTCCCTGCCCTCTCCCGCCACACACTCCGTCAGAGCCCCCTCCCCTCTTGCACAACAGGAATTCTGACAATTAACCAGCTACTCGATTCAAATCAATGGGCTCGCCCATACCGGAGTGGTTCGACTCCACGCAAACCCGGAGTGGTGAGGGGCTGGTCGTGCGGTGTTCTCAGGCCCAGTGAGGTAGTGCATCCGACGGTCCGGATCCTGCTGAACAAGCTCCTCTTGTAGCTCGATCGGTCACACCGCCATCGCCGTTGGGGAGAGGGGGGACGACACTGCTTCGGCAGCGTGCACCTCGATCCTGTACCGTGTTTGTTATGACCCGTGCAAGCCCCGCAGAGGTGCGGGCGAGAGGGCGGCCCGAGCCCGAAAGGGCCCGCCCTCGACCTTGCTCTACATGGTAACGGATAAGAAGAGAAACACCCCCGGACCGGGACGCCGGCGGTCGAGTCGGGACACGCTGTGGTTCAGACGTCCCCCCCCTCGACGCAGTCGAGTGACTGACATGAATAGGGAGGAGAAAGTGTCCCCCACATATCACCACAGACGCAGCACAGGGGCTCCAATCCTGTCCGCCGGGGCCTCGGCTAGATCTCCAGTGGGGAGTGCGAGGGCTGGATCGACTGCAGCGAGAGTGTGGGTTGTGGACCGTCGGGATAGCGTGTGGCGTAGATGTTCTCCTGGAAGTAGAGAGGCTGATGTCTCTCGCCCTGCAGGAAGGAGAAACTCGGACGGGAGAGTGAAAACTCCTCCCTGCGGCATGTGCGCAGAACGGGTTGC